CCCCCCCCCCCCCCCCCCCATCCCTCACTGTGGCTGCAGAGCCGGCCACAGAGCTGTGCTCTGGCCGCATGCCAGCCTCCCTCTCCCCCGGGCAGCCAGCCAGGTGGCGTGTGTGCACGCACATGGCTGGCACCACCACACTGTGCCCTGCATTGCTTCCCTGCTAAGCCCCTTGCATAGGGGCAGCCCTGCCCTCACCCCATGGTCCTGCTCCCAGCTGTGATGTGGTGCCTGGGGCAGGCAGCACCCACAACTCCCTCAGCCCCCAGCTACTTCCCCAGACCTGCCCCAAGCTCCACCTATCTCCATGCTCAAGGGGCAAAGAGCGAGTGTGGGCCTGAGCCGGGCCTTGGCTGCCTCAGAGGCTCAGGCCCTGCTGTCTCCACTCTCCTTCCCCTCCAGCCAGGGCTGGGGGTTTCCCGCCCTTTTTGCAAATTGGATCTTGCAGGCTGGAGCTGTGCCAGCCAGCAAGAGCTCTTTGCAAAAGTGGAGAATCCACGGATTTCTCTGCTAAAAAGAGAAATCTGCATTTTCTCCAATAAAAACAGGAAATCCGTGGTTTTCTCCATTTTTCTGTGGGAAACGGAAAACCTGGATCCCTGCTTATCATGATCTGCAGCCTTCCCCTTCTTTGTTTATAGCAACTTTGCTCATTGCCTGGACATGGTTTATAGCTTTGTGAAGACTGAGACAGAGTAGGCCCTAAGTAGCTCCCCTTGTGTGCTTCATTGCTAGCTCACCATCTCCACTGAGCAGCCCACAAAACTGCTGCTTTACCTTTTCCATCTGACATTATTTGTTGAACATTTTATTATTATCTGCTCTGAATATACCTAACAGACCAGGTCAAGCATAAATAAAAGCATTTTTTTAAACCCAAAAATCTCTAATCAGCACATGAGCAACCTAGGTTAAATCTCCTTTGTCTGATGGGATTTGAATGCACATGTCCCACAGGCCTAAAGAGTGCCTTACCCTCTAGGTCAGGAGTATCCACTTCATTTGGTCCCATGGGGCTGGATCCAGACCACAGGTCTTCTTCTGGGCCAGATAACCTACCTCCGGTGGTGATAGCTTGGTAGGTACAGCTGCCAGAGCTACCACGTTGGCTTGGTTCCAGAGCTCGGGGTGAATGTTGCTGCCACTCACCTGTGTCAATAGCTGATTTTTTGTTTTGCCAAGGGCAACCAAAGACCCTGAACTCAGCAGAAGGCAAGAGGATAGAGAGGCCAAGCAGCAACTGTTCATCCTTGGGGTCCAGACCCACACCAACAAGCCCTGCAGGCCACCACTTAACCACTCCTGGGCTCCATATGGCCTGCATGTGACCAGTTGGACAGCCTTGGTTTAGGTGATAGAATATGCTGAGGCAGAGTGCTCTCAATCCCTCCTGCTGGAGTTGTTCCACTGTGCATGGAAGAATTAACTACTCAACGGGGCCACAGAGAAAGAGAAACTCTATAGCCCACTGTTTAGGGCACTGGAAGTGAGGAGGAGATCTGGGTTCCTGTTCCAATTCCAATAAATATGCAATAGAAAACAGTGAAATAGTCACTGGAAAACATGGAAAACCAAGACTCTCACCTGCCATGTACACGATCTTACCATTAAGCTAAAATTGTTCTCCGTCTGGAAGGACTATTTGTTGTAGCACTCAGATGGAAATGTTTAGACAGTGCCAGATTTCACAGTCACTAAAGGCCAAAGCTCCACATCCTACAGATGTTTCCCCAGCTGTTGATGTGGATGAATGATGGATAGGCTACCATACTCCTCCTTTCAGGGAGGAGGAGGACGACATCATGATGACTATTTTAGTCAGATTTTTTATATTTTAATCAACAATCCAAAAGCTATGGCAACTCACAATGGTTCATACATTCCTGGAACTCTGCTGTATTAAATTAATTTTCTATGTGCAGGACTTGAGTATTTTCCACATTAGCATGGAGCAACCTGCAAGATTCAACACCACTGAAATTTGGGTAGGATTTGTAATCTGGATTCTGCCATTCAAGCCTCTTTCCTGTTTATTTCTTCCTCCTGACTACACGTCTTCTTTTCATCCCTTCACATTTGAGATCTTAAGTCTTGCACTCAGCCAGTTACAACAGATACTCATTTTAGTTGCTTTGAGAAGCTGTGATTTCTTGTTGGGAGCTCTTGCAAAGACAGAATGAGAAGAGCCCTGACTGATGCACAAAAGGAAATGGAAAATTCCATCTTCACCCAGAAGATGAATTAGAAAAAGATCTCATTTTTCAACTAGTGAGGAATGTGCCCCAGCCTGCTGTGAAATATTATTCTGGAGACTAATTTCAGCGTTACCATTTCTGGTACATTCTCTTTTCTACAAAATGTAAAAAAAGTTGAGTTTAGAGAAGATTCTAAAATGTTCTTTACATGTTGGAGATATTTACTAAACTGAAAATACAGAGCTAACTGCAAGTGCAGTACACAGTGACAGGGTGGGTGGGTTTAGTTCTATACAGGTCTGCATTCAGGCAACCTCAAACTCTCAGCACATCCCATACAAGTCCCCATGATCCCAGTTCCCTAGGGTGTTACTGCTGGTTGCACTGTTACTTGCAGAGGCTACAGATCTAAGAGTTGGCCTCTTGATAGGCTCAACAACACCCATCTTGAGGTAGACTGTGGCTTCTCCCACCACTTTGGGCCAGTGTAGGCAGGCTGGTGTATTATCAGCTCCATCTTCCACTACACATACACAGAGCCATGTGCTACTCCCACCCCTGTATTGGAGCCATGATATAGAAAGAGCAGGAAGGGCCTTTAAAAACTATGGGCTCCTCTGGACAGATGGTGATGGGCCCATCCAGTGTCCAAAGTTTCAGAGATAACAAACTATTAAGAGTGATGGAGCATTCATCCCTCACAGGTTTTGCTTTAGGCTCTTAGCAGACTTAGCAGGCCCCTCTGCATGAGATATGCCTGGGCTTATATTATTATTATTATTAGGGACCTACCCAAATTGAGGTGGCAGACAGGCAATTTCACGGGCCAACTGTACCACCAGCTGCCATTTTTATAGGCTTATGACAGCTCTCCCTTCCCCCCACCCCAACTGATTGGCCAAGGGGCGCTGGTGGTCTCACTCCTCACTGCTGATTTGCCAAAAACAATGAAGTGCAGTGATTAATCCGCACTAGTCATGTGGCATGGCACTGCATATCTCACGAAGGCTAAACTGGATCACAGCCAGAGCCCATCAGGCCCTGTGCCAGCAGAGGCTGCAGAAGTGACATCTGCAGAGCGCACTGGATCTAAAGAAAGTACTCATCTGTTTCCCTCCCTCTGCAGAAATCATGGCTGGTGTAGGAGTGAGAAAGAATTTACCACTGAATGGAGCCAGAAGTGCATCTTTCAGAAAGACAAGAGGGAAATGCCCAAGAGGTGGAAATGATTAAAAAGCAGACATTAGTAATCATGCCTTTAATAGCTTGTAAATATAATTTAAAAATTCCAGATGGCTAACGATACACATTTTTTGTACACACCTGACATCTGAAAATGAATGATGAGTCCACAATCTAGTTGTTCGGTTTCATCCCTTTTCTAAACACACAAATTAAATTCTCACTCACTCTTGTATGCAACAGTTTTATGGGGAAAAAGAATCTTGTTTGATGTTCCTTCTTTTACTGACACAGCTGCTTTGCAGTTACAGCTGGACAACTAAAGGTCTCATTCAATAAAAAGGAAAAAAAAACCCTACATTCAAGCTAGCAGAAAAAATACTGAAAGCTCTTTTTTCTCCCCACACACAAACTCCTCATCCAAATAAACCAAAATAATATTGTCATTTCCTGTAAGACAAAAAACCTGCAAGTATACTTAGGCAACTCTTTTTTGGACCCAAGGCTTTATTAAACTGAAAACATCACAGTGCAATGATTCCTCTTCCAAAACGGTCAGTGTACAAATGGAATTCACATCTAAATGAACAAGGATGAAACATGCTCACCACAAAAAGCAAATTTCCCAAAACAGGGCCTCCAATTTGGCTTCAAAAGCCTCATTTAAGAATCTAAATAAGCAGTTTGATTTCCAGAGTTCCTGCAGCTCCCATCAATTCAGTGAGAGCTGGGAATCGCTCAACATTTCAGACTGAGGCTATACCTCATTAGGTACCTAGAAATACTCAGAAGCCTACTTTTAGAAACCCAGATCTGAAAGTTATGGGCAAAGTATGTCCTGCGCAGGCATGTCTGAAGGAGCAGAAACTGAATCACTACAGAGTCTCCATCAGAGGTTCCCAAGCACACACCTGTACCCACTCTGGCTTGTATAACTAGCATTCTACCTGGGCGTCCCTTAGCACTTAGTTCTTGGGCTAAATCCTATGAAGTATTGACTGTCTTCACTCATGTGGAAGCCAATGGGAAATGAAGCTACTCAGCACTTTGCAGGATTGGGTTCTGAATAAGAAGCACTGAATAATGACTAGTTCTGTTGCCACTGAAGTCAATGCCAAGATTTTCACTGATTTCAATGGTAGCAGAATTAGGAAGACCATAGGTAATACACCTCTCTCCTTGGCCATGCTGCATTGCTCCCACCTCCCATTCAAACCACCAGCAGAGCTAAGGCTGCTCTTAATCAGTGTTATTACAAGACTGGAGCTTGGGACTGCCTACACTTCCCTGGTGATTAGACCATGGACAGAGAAGTGGAAAGCGGAGAGTGTGTGCTGACCCAGCCAAAGTCTTCGACTTGTTACCTGGCACATGTACCCAGACTACATAGGAAATCTCTGACCTAGAGTAAAACCAAAGAAGAGGGAACATAAAAATAAAGTGAAAATGTGAACCTTCTTGTTTTGGCTCCATCCCCTGCTGCTTTTGCTAGCAAATCCACTACAAATGCCAATTAATCCTTAGCCAAACCCCCTCTTTCACAGTCTTATGTGCATACCCCCCTAAAAAAAGTCACAACAACAAGTGCAAAGGCAAAGATAGCTACAATCTTCAGAACTCCTAGTCTGCACTGACTGACAGCTCAAGTGTGTTGATAAAAATCGAAGCAGAGAGGTCTATCCTTCTTGGATAAAAACCTGTTTTACCAGCTTCTAATATAGAGAGTGCCTAACTCAACATAAATAATTAGAGACTTAATTAAAAATAATATATTATTCTAGATTTTTTTTAGTTGTCATGTAAAACCTCTATACTCTTGACATCTATGTGAACAACACAAAATAAAAACAGGCACTTGCAATGCCTTCTCAAGCACTATTGTGATTTTTAAAGAACATGTATAGAAATTGAGCAAATGAGATTAATGCCTACAGCGGAAAGTTAGGGGAGCTCTTCATGGTGCTGGCTTTTTCAAGTCTCGGATCTGTTTAATCAAGTAGTTCTTCTCATCGGTGAACTGTTCATCGTCTGTCCGCTCTTTCTGGAAACTGCTTAGAAACTCAATTAGCTTGGGCTGGTTTTTCAACAGGATCTCCACAATAGGCTGCGTTTTGTTTGGGCTGGCCACAAAAACCTAACATGCAAATAGAACCACACACACAGAAACAGAAAGAGAGAGAGGATAAATAGTCAGAGCCACAACAGTGCCTTCAATCTTTTCTGTTGAGTTAGCTGCATCTGGGGTATCTAATTCTGTGCAATAGACTATACTATACATCCACTGACTGCAGTGGGGAAATGCTGGGGGAGAGGCTGCAAAGCTGTTGGTGGCAGATGCCTGATCCTGTGACCTGTTCTAGCTGACATTAAAGGTCCAGAATGCTTCAGAACAGCCTCTCAGGTACTCTAAGGGCTGGCCACAGCTGCTCTATGACCAAGTCCTGCCTGTCCCTGACAAAAACCTATGCCCCAGGAGCTGCTAGGAGAGCACAGAACAGATTGTGCTAGCCCTACAGCAGTTGGAAAGATTCAAAAGCCTTTGGGCCCCTTAGTGATGCCAAGAGCCTACAGCAGGAAAGGGAATCCTTCCCTGAATGTATGTATATGAGGGAAAGCAGCAAGAGGTACATTACACTCGTCTTTGGTAACACTTCCCCTTACTTTGCTCCTATTGTCAACAAAAAGTTTGATCAGAAACGCAGCTGTTGAGTGTTAACTACAAACCCCCTGCTACCTCTACCTACCAGAGCCTGCAACATGAAACGTCACAGAACCAAAACAAACAGGACAACAGAAGGGCCTTGTAGCCTTGTTATAATGTCCATATTAAACCAGACCTAAAATTAGACCAACCAGCTTTGTTTTGGTTGGGAACCAACGTCATCCTCTGCCCTACCTAAACAGCTCTCGTGAGCAGGCAGAGGATGGAAATTTACAAGAGCAGGCTCCTGGCCCCTCCCCTGAGCTCACAAGGACAGAGCCAAGAGGTGAAGCAGAGGGATATTATGACATGCACATGTGTGCTAATCACGGCCAGCCCAGCCCCTGGGGCTTGTTCTTGGGTCAACCAGGTGAGAGGCTGGGATTTTTCCTTTGTAGTAACCATTCACTGTGCAGGTACAGAAGCTTTTGAGGATCTGGAAGAAAAATATTTTAACACAATTTCTAAGACCAGTGCAATCTCCATTTGTTCCCCTCCTCCCCTTACTGTGATGATGTTTCTTTAAAACATCTTACACCCCAGCTAGCTAAAGAAAAAAATTTAACCTGACTGTATAGAAGCCAGTGGTGACAAGTTCTTCCCAGAGATCCCAGTGTGTTAGACCTATGTAAATGTCAGTCATTAATTCCACATCAGGGAAAATACAAGGTAGCAGCAAGAAGAGTTCTTGCATCTGGCTTCCAGTGGGGTTACCATAGAGGGTCAACAAAACACTGTGTCATATTTTGTGGAACTACATAAATAACTCAGCCACTCTGTATTCAACTAGAAGAAATTAAGGATAGACAGGACTGGAGACTGTCCAGGTTCCTTCCCAGCCTGGCAAACCAGAATAAAAACAAACATCTGCTGACAATCAGACGGGCATTGCATTAGACAGAGCACACAAAGAACAGCATGAAAAGAAAGGCTCCTCAGCGTGGTGGAGGAGGAGCCCGCACTGACTCCCGGGCAGATGTACCCTCCAACCCCAAGGAAAGCCAGCCAGGAATCTAGAGACAAGGAGGGACTATGGCAGCCTTCACCATATCCCAAGCTGCAGGTCTGTAGCCACCAGCTGCCTGCTTGTACAGATCTAGTCCTTTTTTCCTGAAGATTCATGTCTTTAATCCCTAAAAACCCTTAGTGGCCACTGCCTGTAAACTTCTGAGTCAGTGCAGCACCCCTTCAGAGCAACCACTCCTAACAGCAATTTCCTTGCCTGAAGCTCAAAATACAGCATCGTATTAGAGACACATTTATTCAGAGATATAGTCAAGTCACAGCCCCCCTGAGTGCACCAAGAGCTCCAGACAACAATTTACTCAGCCACTGCCTTGATCATTTAAAAACAACATTCCTTCCAAGACATGATATTCTACAAATGGTATGTTATTTCCTGCAGTTTTCATAAACACATGTATTGTTTACCAGAGCATAACCTACTGGTGCGTGTCTGTTATATGTCCCCTCTCTGGGCCCCAACCCACTGGGACCATGAATTAAACACACAACTTCAGCATGAACCATAGCAACTCTGGAAAACCCTGTATCAGTTTTCTGTTTGCTGGCCATGGGGTGTTCATCACGAGAGTGCAATATCAATCGATTTACACTGCCCCACACTTCTAGAACCTACGAGTGATTTGGGTGCCTAAATAGAGACACGTTATAAGGACCTGACATTCTAGTCTGCTGAGTAATCATCCTTCAAGACAACTCAAGTATGCATATTTTATCTATACACACACACAAACATGAAAGGAAGCTAGCCTGAAAGGCCTCAGTTTTAAAAACTAATAAATGTCATAGCCCACCATAGGTATTAGTGTGGCAAAGACTACACAGCACATAATGTCTCCAATTAAACTGAATTCTGTATCTTCATCTCAATCTGCATAGGTCCTTATCTTTCCTCCCACAAAACCAGCATAAAGAGATAGAAAGTTCAAATTTTAAATTATCTTTGACTTCCACTTTTATGGGACGATCCCCTTGGTTTCAACTTACCAACCACGTTTTTCAAATAGTGGCCTTATAAAGAAATAACACCAAATGGCTGTTTTTTCGAATCACTTACACTCCCGCAATATTAAAACAAAGTAATTTATACCTACAATTAAAACTCTTAATAATTCATACTATTTCAAGGATTTTTAAAGTTCTGTTAGTTCATTTTAAGACACATGCGAAGAAATATAGGTATATCCCTTGAACTAAGCAACAATATTGAAGCTGACTGGAATATTTTTGACAAAATGAAATTTAATTGGAGCCAAAAAAACATTTCAAAGAGACATTTGTTTCAAAAGTGATTTTATCAGGAAAGATGTCATCTGGAGCTCTTTAGTAACTTCAGAGGAGAAAGAAACATGAATCACAAGCTTGGGTTTTCAATCCAAAAATAGATGTTTCAACACAATTTCATTTTGTGAAAAATGTTTGAAAGATTCTGGTTTCATTCCCACGTGGAACGCCAAACACAGTCTGAAATTCAAGAGTTGCTCTGCAATGTAATTGCTAGCCTTCCAACAGTTCTGTTCTGTATTATTCATCCAAATTCATATGCTATATAATCTCAAACTGACCTCTAAAGCACCTGAGTAGAGTGTTCTGGGGTTTCACCTTGGTTCTCAACACAAATGACAGTGCATGGTTACCTTGTAGGAACACAGAGGGGACAAAGAGAACACTGCTCTGAGTGTCATTGAAAGGTTCACTTGTGGTCACAAATAATCTTTTGGAAACACTTTGTTCTCTTCGCCATGGAGGCTAAAACTAGAGAAGGTCACAGAATCTTGACGACAGCAGCTCTCTCTAACCTTCCGCCTACTCTCAAAGGCTTATAGAGGACACGGGCCAAATCCAGCAGACACAGACTTACACCAGGCCTCATCTTAGATTCACGATTTTCCCATATAAGTCATGAGGATTTTAGGCTACTGACGTGCCTAAAAGTTCACAGGTATGCTGTGATAAAAGAGGCTAAGTAGACTGATTTCTAGCTTGCAGTTCTGATGTGAGCTTGTGTTGTGGTGCTACAGATCACTGAAGAAACCAGGCAGAGGGAAGAACCAGGGTCTCAAAGCCAGAGGCTTTCCTCTTGTCAAGCCATGCCAAAGTTAGCTTCAGGGGGCCCTCTTAGGAGAGGGAGACCAAACAAGGTTTCTTCTTGGAGTCATGAGGCAGAGCTTTCCCTGAAAAGGGCATGATCCATGACAGATGCACTTAAGATGAGACAACTTCTATTACCCAAAGCATCAAATTCTACAGTTAGCATATAATGCAAGTGCATCCACATGAACTAAGCTTCATCTTTATTTAGAGTAGAAATTATCAGTATTGTTAAATTGTGTCAAACCACTTGCAGAGCAAGGTGCGGGAGGAAGCTTGGTAATGCGTAAGAAAGAGAATGGAAAAATGAACCTAAGGTCAGAAGTAGTCTATTTTCAGTTTTACACACTAAAATGCATCTTGCTATATCTCTAATTAAGAAAAACGTTACATAATCCTGATCCTGCACTATAGGACTTTTCTTCAAAATAATCTAATTGTTTCACATGAAAGCCAAGAAAGGTCACTGTTACTCTGTATTTACATATGCATTGTGGGCAATGGGATACAGCACCCTATGCGCCCAATTGCCTGTAAGAGAACAAAGAAGAAAAATCACATACCAGGGTGGACTAATAATTGTAACAAATACATTTGTCAAAAAATAACTATCAGAATTTGAAAAGCCTTTTTAAATTTTGAACCTTGAATTGTGATCGCTGATTCTCCTGCTGGTATTTTTTACTACACAAAAGGTGGCTTGGGGGCAGTTCTACCAGGCCCAGTATGCTTACTGCGCAACTATGGCCTATTTTATCTGGAGACTATTTTCCCATGATTTTTAGGTGAGAAAATGAGACCTTTAGCCGGACAACTGAGTGAACGCTAAGGGTGGGAATAGGCCTAATGCTGTCCATGAAAACATCAAGGGAAGGATGGAAATGCTGAGGGAAGAGGATGTTATGTTGTCAGGACACAGGAAGGAAGAGGTATGGAAAATGAGAACTCATAACCAGGGATTCTGGTTTTCTCTGATGTAAAAAAATCCCCAACTTTCAGATATAAAAATGTAACCTACCCAAAATCCACATTTTTCTGTGATTAAAAAAAATGAAACACCATATATATACACATACACACACACACACACACACATATATATATACACACATACATACATACACACATATGATGTTTCATTTTAATCACAGAAAAATGTGGATTTTGGGTTACATTTTTAAATCTGAAAGTTGGGGATTTTTTTTTTTTTAATCTGAGAAAACCAGGATCCCTGCTCATAACTTGCCATCAGTTCCCCAGACTGGACACTCTGGGTGAGTGTAATTGGCCCCAGGACTCAAAGAGTTAACTGTATTTTAAACTGCCATAAAGCATGACTGTAAAATCTTTAAAAATATAGATGTTCATGGTCAGTGAAAGGACTGTATCTTGAAACCCTCAATAATTAGATACTGCGGAAGAAAGCTGATAGTCATATGCCTTTTTCAGGGTCAGCTGGGGCATGGGAGAGCTGGAATTTGGATACTTACAAAACAGACACTTTCTTTTTAATTTCAAATATGCCTAACTGCAACATCTAGGTCAGGTAATTCAAACCCAAATCTCCTGGCAGCTCAAAGTGAGTAGCAAATACCAGCTACTCAGCAAATCTTCAGTTTCAAGTCAGTATGGCCAGTCTGCTGTAATTTCAACCAGAACTGAACAGGTATTTTCATTACATTCAAACTATCCGAAATCAAAGGCAGAAAGACTAGATTCTTCCCCCAATTCAAACAGCACAGATGTGTGTAAGCTAAGGAAGTATGGACTGGATGAATGGACTGTAAGGTGGGTAGAAAACTGGCTGGAGCATTGGGCTCAGAGTGGTAATCAACAGCTCAATGTCTAGTTGTCAGCTGGTATAAAGTGGAGTGCCCCAGGGGCTGGTTTTGTTCAATGTCTTCATCAACAACCTGGAAGATGGCAGAGTGCACTCTCAGTGAGTCTGCAGATGACACCAAGCTGGGGGGAGTGGCAGATATTCTGGAGGTCAGGGCTAGGATTCAGAGTGACCTAAACAAATTGGAGGATCTGGGGCAAAAGGAATCTCATGAGGTTCAACAAGGACAAGTGCAAAGTTGTGGACTTAGGATGGAACAATCCCATGCACCAGTGCAGGCTGGGGACTGACTGCTTGGGCAGCAGCTCTTCAGAAACAGACCTGGGGGTTACAGTGGACAATAAGCAGATATGAGCCAACAGTGTGCCCTTGTTGGCAAGAAGGCTAAGGGAAGTGATTATTCCCCTATATTCAGCACTGCTGAGGCCACATCTGGAGTACTGTGTCCAATTTGGGGTCTTGCCACTACAGAAAAGATGTGGACAAACAGGACAGAGTCCAGTGGAGAGCAACAAAAATGGTGAGGGGGTTGGGGGACATGGCTTATAAGGACAGGCTGAGGGAACTGGGTGTATTTAGTTTAGAGAAGAGAAGACTGAGGGGGGATTTAATAGCAGCCTTCAGCTACCTGAAGTGGGGTTCAAAAGATGGTAGAGCTAGATTGTTCTCAGTGGTGGCAGATGACAAAACAAGGAGCAACAATCTCAAGTTGCAGCAAGGGAAGTTTAAGTTTGATATTAGAAAGAACTTTCTAACTAGGAGGATAGTTAAAGCACTGGAGCAGGTCACCCAGAGAGGTGGTGCAATCTCCATCCTTGGAGGTTTTCAAGACCCAACTAGACAAAGCTTTGGCTGGGATGATCCAGTTGGGCATGGTCCTGCTTTGACTAGATGACATCCTGAGGTCCCTTCTAACCCTAATTTTCTATGATTCTCCTTACTCACCAGAAAGGGCCTTATGACAAGGCAGTAACTGTTTTCCATTAAGCGTATGTTCTTGTTGGTATTCAGGGATTTCCTTGATTGGTTTCCATCAGTGTTTTTTTTCCCTGCATTAAGAAATTCTAAGGACAAAATGCTCCTGTCTGAACTATTCTTCAAAGCTTTTATTTCACAGTGCACTTGTCTAGCATTTATTCTGTAATTGTTTTGTAAACATAGAATGATCCCTGAATACATCAAGATCTTACAGTGCTACTTAGAGAGGGGAATTTCATTCAAGTTGAAGGTAGAATTTTACTTCTACTTACAAGTGTGTCATGTCAACTGATCAGAGTCTGCTTAATCACATGGGGCAACTCCCATGGAATACCTGGAAGATGGATATTGCATGCATTGCCTTCAGCTTTAACTACTACTTTCAGATACTGTTAAACAAACAGACTCATTTATCAGAGGGCAAAATTTGGCCCTCTAACTTGAATGGGTACAATTGTTTCCTATTCGCTTTGCCTAGCACCAGATCTGCAGGGTGTTAGGTGCTGCACAAAATGTAGAGCAGACATGAGTCCCGTCCCCCCGCCCAAAGTATCTACATTCTGAAATGAAAACTGGAAACAATGAATTTAAAAAAACAAATGGAGGGTGGCAGTAGGGAAGAAGAGCAAAGACAACAGTAATAAAACCACATGGTTACAGCTCTAGCACATTTCAAAGCCTCTGAGGCATCTCTTTTCAGATAAAATCAACTAGTTTCAACTGCAATGCCTCTGGCCATGACTTGGAAATATCACAACAGAATTAAGTAGTAAAGAAGGATCTGCAGTAGCATATGTAGTGGCCTAATGGATTAATTTAGGGACAGTCTTTCATATATAAGAATGTGGCCCTTTGTGAATATGAAAAAGCAACTAAGAGAGATGAAACCTCTCTTCCCTCTCAACTACATCCAAAGTCTCAAACACTATAAGTGGTTTCAGTTAGCTCTCCCCAGCTTATCTTTGAGTTGCATACTTCCTGATAAGGAGTCAGAGCATAAGCTACTCACAGTAGCTTGGTTGTCTAAGCAGTAAGCCAATGAAGGGACAGTATAATATCTTACAGAAGCAATTAAGTGAATCTCTTGTGCTGATTCTTGCAGGAAAGGAAATACTTAAAATATTTTGAGAATTTCACTTGAGATTTCTTTATGTAACAGAAGAAAATGAAGAGGCCATGCCATCCTTCATGCCACAGGCTGGAGACCTGAGTGCTACGCAAATTTTTTTTTTAAACAAACGAGAATCCCAGCAGTGCAAAATTAGAAAAAAACTTAAAAAAAAAACATTTAAAGGCAAGGGAAGGGTTTTGAAAGAGTCTGTCACTTGATGATGCTAATCTATTCTACAGACATCTTTTAGAAGAGAATACCCCTTCTGCATTGGCTTTACCCCACTCTACTACAAGTTACATTTTGCAAACTATGAAAATAGGACCATGCATATTTATAAGCCAATTTTGAATTAAAGGTAGCTCTGCATAATAATAAATTCTACTCCATTTGCCCAAGGCAAGTGAAATTTCTTCATTATCATCAATCACAGCAAAGGATGGGCAGGCAGTTTTTATGACTGGGCTGATAATAGTTTTAAGACAATCTTATAAGGATGCATTAATAAGTAATGCAAAAGACAAACAGAAATAGAAGGATTAAGCCTACTCTAGGCTCTGCCTTATCACATCTTTGCAAAGCTTTGAAACCACTTGTGCAGCCTCCCTCCGAGCGCCATCACTCTGGGATCTGATCTGCCTGTGTTGAAATAAGCTAAGAACACACAGCTTCAAAATGACTGACTTTCCCCATCTTTACCCAGGGTTACATTGTGACAGGAGTAAAGAGGCTGAACAAGGCACCGTGGACCCCTACAGTTCGGCCTTTTGCAAGCAGCCATGTATATTTCCACCTGTTACATGCAACTCATCGATATGTCAGGGTCCCGTCATACCATTAAGGCCAGATTCAAATTACCCTGCATTAGACAGCACCAAACTGTGAGAGAAAAAAGACCAAACAAGCATTGTCAAGGGTCTGAATTGTTTTTTGAATAAACTCTCATTTTTCTGCAAGTTCCTCATACCCAACCTGAGAGAACAAAAGAAAAAAGGTCTTTCTTTCTCCACCTCATGCTGATTTACCTTGAACACATGAAAAGCCTCAAACTGAATGTTGGGGCTTTTATCTCGCAGCAGGTTCATCATCAGCTTCAGGTTCTCTGGTTTGCTGATATATTTTGTCATGATGGCAAAGTTGTGTCGGTCCAGAATCAATTCACCCAGCAGCTGTGGAAACATTCACAAGGAACAAGACTTTATAGACCCACAGTATTTTGATGTCAGATGCAAGCACCATATTTTCACCTTTGTTCATAAGAGTTTCAATATAGCTTCCTTTCAAAAAAACCAAACCCAAGTTGAATTTGCAATTAATGTAATGAGGTACAGTGTGACAGCACTGATCATTCAGATACTGCAAAAATGGATGCCATTCTAGAGTATGTATTAAGAGTTGGCCCAAGCCAGATATAGAAGTAAGCGTAGCACAGCCACCCATAAGGTAGTTTTGTTAATATATCTCTGGCCTGATGCAGAGAACAAAGGAGAGAAAAGGAAAGGATTCCCAGGCCACAGCCTACTTTCCCTTATGGAAAGACCTGCAATGTCTGCAGACATGTGACTCAAGGATTGGACACTAAAATCATCTCCAGACCCACCAATGAGCCACAGCAGAGATCATCCCTGAATCAAGGGATGGTTAACAAAGGCTCAACATGCAACACACCCTTTGGTTCCAGTCAGGCGGGTTGCACTCAACAGCTTGATGCTTCAGTGCCATGGATGAAATGGGAATTCTGGTGAACGTATCAAATTCCCTCATGGGCACCCTGAACTAGGCTCTAAGGGCCTCCATACATGTGCAGGGAGGCTGCTCCAACATGCTGTAATTGCACGGTAATTACTGCACTCCAGCAGACTTCAGTGTCATGTGTATCAGCATCCCTGTGTTGAAAAATGGTAGCAGGGTGCTTTAAACTAAAGGTCGTTTGACAAGCTTTAGTTCAAAGAACTCCACAGAAATTTTTCAGCACAGGGATGCTGATACACATGATGCTCTGGGCACTAATTTGTGTGGCTCTCAGAGCTCCATTAATTAAATGTCCCCAAAGCACATCTATAAATACCCTAAAAGCTCAGGTGTCCTTGAGGAAAAAAAGAGGATGAAACATTTGTTTCAGAAAAACTTGGTGCCCCAGCTTTATTCTTTGGATTCAGGAGCTGGGACTCTCCAATGCTAGCCATAATATAGACGCATGGAATTTCCCAGTTTCCAAAAATAATAAGATTTGCTTCAAGTAATTTATTTTGTAACAAAGTCCGCACAGTTACCCTGTTATAGCATCTTCTGCATGTTATGGAGACACAGGTGCATGCACGTTCACACACACACACACACACACACATACACACACACTTCGCACTATGGAGCTAAGTAAAAAAGTTAGGAGTCTGGTGATTTTATAATTACCTTTAAAGATTGTCTCTTTGTTACATAATTCTCAGAATGAAGCAATTTTTCATAGTCCTCAAAGATCTAAAGGAACAAGAGGAAAGAATGGAAAGAATGTATTCTATTCACCGCTATTCTTCTGTCCTGTGCCCCACCCACCTGGCACTGCTTCTAAGCCAGCCCATGTTACCCTCAAGTTCTTGGCTCCCTCTTTGTTTGCAGCTTCTCCACTCTCTGCAGAGACAAACTGTAACATGCATGTGAAGGGTGGTTCCCCTTTCCCTGTCAAAGGGTGGTTCAGTTCAGGAGCAATTACTGTTGGCTTGCACATGTACAGGAGCTTAGCATGAAGTAGTGCACTTGCGAGCCTCATGATGTGCCTGCCTCTCATACATTACGAAGCTGCTGCCAAACTAGAACGTAAGGTCTATCATCAGATGTATGTGCTCAATAAGCCTTCATTCTAAGACAAGCTGTTTATTTCTATCCATGGTCACTTTGTCCTTTAATGTTGAGGGTATAATGCCCAAAACTGTTGAAAATAATGGGCCACATCCTGGGAGGCACTGCGTGCCTCTTTAGTAAAGTGGTAATGGCCTTTGACACCCTTTGGTTTAAAAGCAACTCACAGGACCAAACTAAAAAGGAGTTGAATATACAGCTAATTCTTTCACGGTATCTTAGTTAAAGGGGGATGGTGATGGTTTGAGCTGGTTGCAATCTTTTCACCAAATGAACATTTTTTGTTAGTTTGTTGACTAAAAGTCACTTAAAGAACATTAATTTCTACAGTCTGTACTTTGATCTTCAATGCTACATAAACTCAGCATAGCAGTTCATTCGATCACAGTGCTTTAGGAGAGACGGAGAAGGTAAGTGAAGATATAATAATTCTGCTCAAGTCAAACAGCCTTTGTGACTCAGCAGCAGGAAAGCTTAAAGCCTTTAGTTAGTTTTCTGGATAACTTCTACTGCTGAAAGAAACACTCTTTGGCCTTTTTATTTTGGCAGTAAAATAAAGAACATCTATGGTAATATGAGAACATAACCCTCAGCCTAATTCCATCAGCCACATAAGTCCAATTTCAGTTGATTCAATGGAATGTTTTTGACCCACATCTGATGTTCAGATCTATTTTAAATGAAAGAGAAATGGCAATAAACCAATAGATTAATTCACTTAGGATGATAAGAGTTATATTCACATCTCAGCCCTTTGGGACTTGGGCATATATAAATTTCCAGTATCACTAGTTTAAGTTCCAGCAGCTCTTTTCCTATATCCCAGCATGTCATCTGAGATAAGAATGATGATCACCTAGCAGTAGTGGAGTGTTACTGAACTGTAGCAAAAGGCAAATATTTAAAAAATGAAAGCAGTCAAATCTTTGTGCATATGTAATTCCTATTATTGCTAATAGAGATAGGTTGCATAATAACACTGTGGGAACTGCCATCTACCCTTCAACATCAAACACAATTAGATTTTGACCCTGAGCTGTTCTAGAAATGTGATGTATATTGCTTTCTGGACTGGAAAGAAGAAATAATGTCATAACCAGACATAACTGAAAAGGATTCTCCCCTGGTCAAGTGGACACTTTTAGCTAAAAGGATCTGATTCTCAGTTCTAGGCGGGGGCATGCAATCCTACTCAGCTCCCCAGTTTGGTTGATTTTGAGTAATTTGGAATGCACTCTTCAACTGTCTACTGAAGTACCTTCCCTGAAATCCCACTAGTGATTTCCATGGATCTCATCTGAGAAATGAATGAACTAAACCAGGGGTGTTCAACCCCTGGCCTATGGGTCAAATCCAGCCCATAGCACCATGTCATCCATCCCACAGGGCCCCCCATAGACCAATGGATCACAGCACACAGGGCCAGGTAGGGGCAGTGCTGGGCCCCAATACCCAATCCCAGTGTGAGGGTCTGGGAGGCGGCAGCACCAGACCCCTGGGACCCAATGCAGCCCTGTGGGGTGGGAGGGAGTGGTGCCAAATCCCCAGGGCCCAATCCCAGCCTGTGGGGATAAGAGGGGGCACATCCTTGTAAATCACTTCCAGCACACAGGGTGGTGCCAGGCCTTGGGGCCCAGGCCCAGCACTTGAGGCAGGGAGGAGGTAAAGCTGGCCCCAAGGCCCAATCCTGGCATATGGGGCTTGGTTTGGCCCACAAATGAGCCCCACTCATCAGACCCACAGGGCAAAACTTTGCACACCATTAAACTAAACTGCTGAATTCAAAGTTGGGACTCATGCATGAAATTAAAAAAAAAAGCCTATTCTGAGTACTTCCAAAAAGCAGCAAAATGTTCAGTCCAAATATGAATGGATTTATCACAATAATAGTTTCTTAGTAAGGTTGAAAAATCATTGGTACTTACTGTATCATAATTCTGTTCAAGGAAATCTGCTACCAACAATTTGTGTCTCGTCAGTAGATCCTGGGAGAGAACAAACCAGGAAAAAATGAATTCAGTGAAACGTTTTGTCAATCAAGTGCCCATATTATCTGCACTAGTTTATGCCATACCTTTCATGTTCAACTGTAATAGAATAAAGAATGTTTTCAGTCAGGCCTCCTCCTACAGAATAATTTCCAAATTAATCTCAAAGAAAGATAATTCAAAGAATGATAATGTCCTGTTTACCATCAATTTCAGTTATCAAGTCACATGTTCATTATGACTTATGAACAGTTCAGTGAATAAATACAGAATTAATATAATTTAGGCCACTGATGGATGTTAAATCCCACTGCACCATATTGTTGGTGCAGGGGGAGCGAGGGACCATGATCATGAGGCACCCCCTGCACCAGTAGGTAGCAAGCTTGGCTCATGACACCCCCATGGCTGAGAGCCTGGATCAGCTTATTAGCGCTATCAGTTGTGGGAGTTCAGAGGAGCCTTTGGCTCCGATGCACTCCCCTAACTGGGAGCTCCAATCAGCTAAACTGGGGCTTCCAGCCTCTGGAGCACATGAAAGTCTTGAAGGGCTCCAGCATGCTCTGGAGGCAGGGAGTACTGGTCACACATTCAACTAAAGAAACCAGTCACAAATTTATTATGCATTTTTTTGTGTGATAACTTTACGGCTTATTCCTTGTTTTATCAAGCCATTAATTGAATTAACCTGTGGCCAGCTCACTACTTAAGATGTGATTAAGCAGTTAATCATGTTCTAAGCATAATGTCTGTCTGGGGCCCTAGGGAGTATTCTAAGCTAGCCATCCTCAACTTCCAGCCTGCAGCCTAGATCTGTGCCACAGAGCTGTTTTATCTGGTCTGTGGGTCTCCCCACAGGTCCAGAAATTTGCCATTAGGGGAGTGGTGGAAGCACTGATTGCCACACCCCTGCTGCCAAATTTTTGGTCCTGTGGGGAGCCTTGCAAGACAGATAGCATGGTCCTGCATTGCTAGATCATGCCAGTGCAGTCAGGCCAGTCTGTGGACCAGATAGAGGCGTGCAGGACCAGGCTAGTATGCAAGGCCTGAGCTGGGGGCATGGGATCAGGCTGGACTGCACCCACAGACTGACCCTGCACTGGATCTGACCCACAGTCTGACCCTGCATCACGCAACTGGCCCGCAGCTAGGCTAAGCACCACTGTTCTAAGCAGATCCATATAGATTTTTTTATGACCTGTGAGCTTGTGCAAGAATTAATATTTAAAATGTCAACAGTAAAATAACTGTAACTTAAAATTCAAAACAACCTTTTAGAAAATGGCACATAAGCAGAAGAGCCCAGACTATAGCCTGAAGGCCACATGTGACCCATGAAATCTGCAAACTGTCCCAGACCTGCTCACTTCCTTAAGCAACATGGTGAGGACGGAGTTGATCAACTATAGCAGTGGCAACCAGCATTTTTTGGCAGGTGTGCCACAAATTAGCCCTATAACTTCCCTGAGTGTCACTCCAACCCTCTTTCTCTGCCTGATCTCTTGCTCTGCCTTCTTCCTGTCCTATCTGCTGCTCTCTGCTCTACTGTCTGTCCTCTCCCTGATCAGCAGCATGCCATACATGAAGGCTGCCCATGCTACTTGTGGCACTTATGCCACAGGTTGGTCATTACAGGAATTTACTGCTGATGAATGCAAATGCAATTTTAAATTTAATCCAACACTGAGGAAGTTATTACCAATGAATATTAAGGTCATATCTATTTTTTTATTTAAAGTGTTCATGTCTATACAAAGAAGCTTGAACCCAAAGTTGTTTAGCCTCACAAAGTCCCACAAAAAGTCAATAAATACATAACCAGGCCTACAAATTAAAAGTGACAGACTACATCCACACGTGCCTCAACTTCAGACCTTGTGAGGTACTCTCACCTCCAATAAAGATTATGGGAGCTTTTTCAGCATCCTGATAATCAAGCCTCTATAAGGCATCTGAAGGAGGACTCCAGTGGCTAATTTGAGGCATCCAAATTTTGAATTATTTTTAACTTACTGTCTTCTTCAACACTGATTTACAAAAAGGCCTCATTAAAAGCTAGATGAAGTTAAAGAATATTTTTCCATTGACTTTAATGTCTTTGCATCAGGATCTGTATCTTTTTTCAATTTAATTTTGCAAAGATTCACCCCTTCTTTCACCAGCTTTCATACTCGCTGTCAGAAGCTGACAGATGAATTATCTTTATAAAAAGCTGTTCTCCACATTTCCAAAATTAAACCTAATCAGAGGGCTCATCAGCTTTTTATTTATTTCACAATAAATTAGACTGAAAAGATTTGTACTTGCAGCATTTGTTTCATCAGGTATTTTAGAGAGGCAAGGAGAGGCCCATAAACAAAGTGCTATAAAAACTGGTATGCTGTGCTTATAAAATACTTTATTATTCAGCAGGGCTATAAGGTTCTCGGGTTGGTTAGCTGAATAGACTTTAGAATGCTTTATATGTTTTGTGTAGGACACATTATTCAATGTTGCACAAATTGAATATAATCCAAAATTACTTTTGTTTTTATTCATAGAAAAATGACAAGACGGTACTGCACCACATGATGTTATCAGTACTGTCCCTGCCTTCCAACTGGTACTCCCCCCACTATTGATTGTGTCTCTAAATACAAGTCAGTTTTTCTTGTTTCACCTGCATGTGCTTGGCAGCTCAGCTCCCTACCCCGCTGCACCTGGCCGAATTTAATTAAAAACACATCTTAAGATCATTAAAAATTCCAAAACTTTCCTACTATAAATATCCTTTAATTTTAAAGCAGATTTAATTAAATCCTTCTCTGGTGCATGTAATAGACAGGGCTTTCTTCTTTGAACCAGATGCCCATGTAGTTGTATTAGAAACCAAACAAGAGGCTGGCAAACCAAGCACAAATTCAGTAATCCAGTAAATGAAAAGCTGTAAAGCTTATTTTTAGTCTTAAAAATCAGGGTAGTGATGCACTTTTTGAATCCTATTGGTTGCATATCACTTTTTCTTTCCCTGACCAATACAAGAAGCTTCAGAAAAGGCAAAAGAGACAGCCATGTTATGGATTTACCTCTGCTCTGAAGCCTGAGGATGAAATGTAATTATAGCCCTTTCACCTATCTAGCTAGCACAGCTATGGGTTTTTGTTATTCATGTGGACGTAAAATCCTATTTTTAATTCCTACTAAACTCTCAGCCTTAATAATACAACTTGTAGCAGTGAGTTCCCCAGCTGGTGACTTTAGGAGTCACATCAATCCACTCACAGTGACACACTGGGGGTGCTGTAGTTAGCAGGCTCTACTGCAGTTCAAACATGTTTTATTCCAGTCCCTGCTTTGTGTTTCTGTTACTCGTCCCAACCATATTGCTACTATCCTCAAAGCACAATCAATCTGCCTTTCTGAAAATGATGCAAATTTCTTCTCCAGTGATTTAGCAGCAGAGCTTGGAATAGGAAAAAAAATAAATAATAAAATCAAGGAAATGTTTATCATCCCCCGTCTGCCTGATAGATAAATACTTTCTCCTTTAAACACAGGGAGAGGAATGGGACAAACACTATTTAAAAAGTTAAGTCATGGCACATTCTGATAAAAAGCTGCTACAATGAACACATTTTTTACTTGTAAATGCCTATTTTTGTATACTACTACTGCTATAATGATTTTAAACCAGAGATAACAAAGTCAGATAGCAAGCTAAATAATTCTAAGCCTCCCCTATTGCTTAATAGAGTTGGTATGAATTGGAAAACCACCTTGACTGACTATTTAAGAGCAAGAAGCTATTCCCATTAAACCAATGTCTACCTAAGGTGCTTGTATACACCACAGGGGTTTAATTTGGTTTACTTTTCCCTAAATTGAAACACTTGTATTTTAAAAACACCGCTTCAATGTAAACTGAACTGAAACCCCATGGTGTGTACCTGCCTCTCCGGTAGTGGGGGGTGAGGAGTGAGCTGCCGGCAAACCAAACAGCCCCTGAACTGCGGGGGGGGGGGGGGGGGGGGGGGGGCG